CCCGGTGGTTCCTGGTCCTCTGCATCCACGCCGTGGGGGGGGGGGGGGAGCAACCGCGGGTTCTCCTAGTCTCCTAGTCAAGGTTCCAGTTAGCGGGTGCCAACTGGGCCTTGGTCTAGGGTACCTGGTTCTGCGGTTGCGAGGCCTCTCGTCCGGATCGTAGTCCATGAGGAATCGTAGCTGCTCGTTCGGGTGGTCCTGAGCTTTCTCGAAGGTCTTCTCCGCTTTTTTCCTCCTGTACTCGTGGATGGTGTCCCAATGCAGGTCTCTACGCAAGGTTGAGTTTCTTACGTAGGATGGTGCACTGGTGGCGATCCGGAGTAGCTTCATCTCTAGAGCAGCAAGTCGCTTGCGGTAGCTGGGGGCAGCGTACCCCCAGACCGCGGAGGCGTAAGCGAGCTGAGGTCTGGCGATGGCCTTGATCAGCCGTAGCTTGGTCGCTAGCGGCATCCGGCTGTGTCTACCCAGTAATGGGTAGAGTTGAGCCATGGCTGCTCTGGTCTTTGCGATGACAGCTTCTATGTGGGCTTTCCAGGTGAGGGACTTGTCAAATACGATCCCCAGATATTTGACTTTGTCGCTCCACTGGATATCTTCGTCGAAGATGGATGCTTCGAGAGGTCTTGCAATCCTTCTTCGTTGAATGAAGATTTCCTGCGTCTTTTGGACGTTGATGCGGATTTTCCATTTCACGCACCAGTCCTGGATGTGATCCAGTTCATCCTGTAGTCTCCTACGGATGATCTCGGGTCGTCTATGCTTGGCGGCTATAGCAGTGTCGTCTGCATATAGGGCCAGCATTGTGTCAGCTGTCTTCGGCACATCGTGAGTATAGATGTTGTAGAGCAGGGGGGCTAAGGCTGACCCCTGGGGCACACCTGCTTCCAGCTGTCGTCTTGTTGAATGGCATGTACCAATCTTCACCGTGAACCATCTTTGTGTTAGATAGCTCTGGATTAGTTGGCACATGTTCGCATCGATTCCGGCGGCTTCCATTTTGGCGATGAGTCCATCGTGCCAAACTCGGTCGAAGGCTCGTTCCACGTCCAGCAGGACGAGACCGGTTGCCTCCTGGAGATTGAAGCCGCTGGTGATGTTTCCCGTCAGTCGTAGCGCTTGGAGTTCCGTGTTGTGGGAGGATCTGAAGCCGAATTGCTCTGGGGCAGTTCTTCTGCCTGCTTCTCTAGTCGAACGGCGATAGCCTTTTCGACTACTTTGCCCATCGAGGAAACCAGGCTGATGGGCCGGTAGTTCTGGGTCAACTTCCGGTCCTTGCCTGGCTTGGTGAGCATTATAACCTGGGCTTCCCGCCACCGCCGCGGGAAGTGGTTAAGTCTCAGAGTGGCATTGGCGATGTTGGTGAGCGCAGCAATGCCTTTGGTGGGAAGGTTCATCAGCATCCTATTGTTGATGCCGTCCCTTCCCGGCGCCTTTCTGACCTTCAACCTGCGGATGATCAGACGGATTTCCTCTGGACTGGAGGGGTGATCCGTCTCCTGGCCAGGCGGTCGACTCCTCATGCTTTCGGCTGCGACTTCCACGGCCTCCTCGTGGTTGTCGTCCTCGTCTTCATGGTAATTGAGTCTGCATTCGGATTCTAGCGAATCGGCGAATGCTTCGGCTTTTTCTTCACTGGAGTAGGCCAAGCCGCGTTGGCCGTGAAGAGTGGGGATCGTGGTGCGCTGACGACGGAATTTTCGCTGCATAGTCCAGGCCGTACCATCCTGGGTCTCTAGTTCTGCACAGGCTGCATTCCATCTGCTGTTTTGGAGTTCCGCGAGTGCGTTCTTCAGAGCTAGCGATGCTCTGCTTCGCGCAACTCTCGACTCCTCTGTCAACAGCTGGAGATGTTCTCGCTTGAGTCTTCTGTTCTCCCTGATCAGGTGCCTAATATGGTGCGGTGCTGGACCATTTAGGTGTCTAGGAACTGCCGTAGTCTCGGAGCGGGTGCTGTCCTCGTGCGCTCGTAGGACAGCATTCTCCAGCTCCACTACCGCGTTGTCCAGTTCCTCCGCTGATCGGATGGTTGGAATTTGAGTGATGTTCCTTTGGACGTTGGATTTGTACAGGTTCCAGTTCGTCCGTTTGGTGCTCAAGCTATCTCGAGTTCTAGACCCTGTGCCAAGTGTTAGTAGAATCGGATTGTGGTCCGACGATCCTTCCACCAGGGTCTCTATCTCGAACTCCTCTCTGATGTTGCGGAGGATGGCTATGTCCAGTACCGCAGGTCGCCCGAGGCCGAATGGAATGTAGGTTGGTTGCTCCGGACCAACGATGACCCCCGCCAGGGCATCGACGTTTTCTTGGAGCTGCCTTGCATTCCTATCTTCGACGTTGTTGTTCCATGCCGGAGATTTGCAGTTTAGATCTCCGATGACTATGCGTGCTCCTGGGCCTCTCAGGAGGTCAGCGATGTCATCTTCGTCTAGGGCCCCCCCTGGTGGCACATATAGGGAGGTGATTCTGTAGGGACGGCGGTTGTGATGGACCTGGACCGTGATTCCGTCCCCATTGATGTGTGCGGCATCGTCGAGGACATGACTCGTCAAGGTACGTTTGACGAGTAATGCGACTCCTCCACCTCTGCCTCTTCTGTCGTAGCGGTACGTCTCGTACCGCGGGAACGTCAGACTATGGGCAGCATCCAATTTCGTTTCTTGGATGGCCATCACCTCTGGTTGATACTGGTCTAGTATCTCCTGGATTTCTGGTTTCCGTGCCCTGAATCCGTTGATGTTCCAGGAGATAATGCGTAGAGATTCTACGTTTTGCCCTGTAGTCATTTCGGGTCTAATGCTTGTCTTGCATCTTGGCCTCGAGTGCATCCAGGCGGGTTATGATGGCTTGCATCATTGCTAGCAGTCTGTCATCGCCGTGTTGCTTCTGCGCAGTAGTTCCAGTAGCAGTGGCGGCTGCTGGGGCAGAAGTGGACATAGGTTTCTTCGCTTTTTGAGCGTAAGAAGTCCTATTTGTGGTGGGGACTGCTTTGGGGGCAGAAGCAGCTTTCTTCGGGGCCTTACTACATCCCTTGTAGGGGGGTGGCCTTCTCCACAGAGGCAACACTTGGCGTTTCGTTGCCCTGTTGGCGGCGCTGGCAGACTGCAGCTGGTGCTGTTGTGGTCCTCTCCACACTTAACGCACCGTTCAGCGAGACGGCAGTTCCGCTGTGTGTGCCCGTACCGCTGGCAGCGGTAACATTGGCTGGGCTCGGAAGACTTTTTCTTCCTCTCGAAGCTGACCGTGAGCATGGCCAGCCTCTGGATCTCTGCAAGCTTTTCCGGCATCTTCGTCTTGACGAGGAAGAGCGGAAGTGGTTTCTTGGTGGTCCTCCTTGAGGTCATCTGCTGAACCTCGGTGTCTGCGATGCCTTGGCTTACTAGATCCTCTTTGATGTCATTGACTGACATCTCGCTGGGTAGCCCACGAATGACCCTCTGGTCCATCCTGTCCTCCTTCAGTTGATAGGTGAAGAAGGGCCGCTTGATGGATTCCAGCAGTGCGACTAGCTGACGATAGTCAGCTGGTGTATTTGTGAACACCTTCACACTGTTACCCGCCGTCCTCGCCTTGGAGAATTGGATCCCCTTGCTGTTCATCATCCTGCTTAAGGATGACCAATCAGCGGTGCCCTCGATATTGATTGGCGGAACTCCTGTTCCTGCCATGGGGGCCTCGGTGGTCCTGGTTGCTCTAGGACCTCTCTTCTTGGTGGCAGCTGGCATCTTTGGCTGCCTGGGTTCTTCTTCTTCGGAAGAGGAGGAAACTCTCACTCGTTTTCTCCTCCTGGTGACGACACTGAAGTCAGCGTCATCGGTCCTCTTCTCGGCTTCTTCTTCTTCGATATCCTGGGCATCCATGTCCCTGTTCTCCGTAGGCTGCTGGTCCTCGTCTCCCTGGTCCTCACCTTCTTCTTCTTCTTCTTCTTCTTCCGTCTTCTTCGCCTTCCTCTTCGCTTTGAAGAGCTTCCTTTTTACTTCATCTATCTCACTCCTCGCCTGCTCGAATGTTTCTTGCAGATTTTTCATCTGCTCAGCAAGCATTGCGAAGTTCTCCTCCTTCTGCTTCAGCTGGCTCGCCAGTTTTTCTATTCTCGCCATCGTGGATGGTGATCGTACCGTGATGAAAATCACAATAGGATCGCACTGTAAGTCCGGGTTGGTCGCAGTCGCACAAGTGTATACTCGCGACGGCTGCTAGCTCGGGACGGGAGCAAAAGTGGAGACAGATTGATGAATCATATATCAAGAAACTTCTACAATCTATGTCGAGACGGTGCCAGGCGGTGATTGATAATAATGGTTATGCTTCAAAATATTAACACAAACATGGTTGGTTTTCTATAATTCAATGAACTTTGCTTCTTTTTTCTATAATTGTTTTGCTTTGTCTATATATTTTTGTCCTTCATAGTTCCAGTTTTTTTCAATCAATTTTTTATTGAAGGGAGTCTAATGAATTTATTCATGTATAAGTGAGTATTATGCTATAACGAATTATGTATACAGGTTGGTGTATTAATAAAACAAGTTAAAAAAGAAATGCAGCACAATATTAATTTGTCTGTATACTTTTGTCCATTACTGTATTTGGCGAATCAGCTAATGAAATAACCTTTCAAAATAACTTTGGTACTATAACCATCAAAATCATTAAACTAAATAAATGAGACAGAGATACGTCGTGGATGCTTCTTTTTTTTTATTTCCAGACAAGGTCCTTTTGTAGCGTCAACAATAACATTTATTTAATAATCTGATCTCCCAACTTGCTAGCTTTTTAGCAGTATCTTTCCAGCGTATTTCTTTTGTTTCAAAGCTTGCTATTCAAATCCTTTTTTTTTCTTATCCCTCAGTGCTCGGTGAGAAGAAACGTCGCGTCAGAGGTCTGTAGCTGTCTTTTCGCATGAATAATTCCCGTTGTCCCCTCTATCAACCCGATTAGAGTGACAAGACGTGGGGACGTTCCTTTTGTACTTTTACTAGGGCCCGTAAAAATATAAGTGTCCCTGTGCTCCTGCGATAGAAATAAAAGTTAATAAGGGTGGCGACGGACAACGGAGAGAGAGAGCAGTTAAAGCAAGAAATGCCCTGGACAAGGATGGAAGATATGCGGAGAAAGAACAGCTCAGTCGTTTTGGCCCTTCCGAACGTAAGATTTGTGATATTGTGGAGTTGGCGTTTTATAAGTTCTTTATCTGGAACTGGGGTGATGAGCTTGATTTCGTTGTTTGCCTGACGAACACTCCCCACATATGTGATCTTATGCAGGCTGTCAGGATTGGAATACGGATTTCGTTCAAAAAATTCCTATGAGGTCTCTAATCTACTGTGCTTCAGATTACGAGAAATTTCATTATGAGGGATGTCATTGTGAGTTGGATTAGCTTGAAAGTACTAGTTTTTTGATGTCCTGATGTGGCATATTCGCTATACTGCCATCATAAGCCAGAAGATAGTATCTGCTAATTTTATATTTTACAGGAGCGAAAAGTAAGTGTTGTAATCCTAACTCAAACTGTAGTGTTTAAAAAAATAACGCTTTTGGTTTATTCCCAGTAAAAATTGATAATATTTTCTAACGACTATTCTGAATTTTACCGACGATATGTCTATCTATAAATAAAAACGCATATACTATATGACCGACGAAGAGTAGGTAATTAAAAATATTATGAATCTGGTGCGATTAAGTATATGTCTTATATATAGTATCTGCTAGTGCCATTGCGTTGGTTATAAATTAAATCAGAGCGTCTTTATGGTTTCTAAGCAAGAATATAGTAAGTACGGGTATGTTTTAATTTATTGTTGTGGAGATACTGTGTTCTAATTTAAGATAATCGTAAAAATGCTAGATACTGCACTAATGACGGCAGTATACCTGAAGGGGGTTTGGGTTCCTCTCTATCGTTTGTGTTTTGTTAAAACTTATAATAGATTACCTATGTGAGTTATAAAAATAGTGTGCTCTAGTTTTTTGAAATTATACCTACTATACTGCTTTACGCAACTTTGTATGGTAATAACAATATAACAAAAAGTATTTTTTCTTTTTCAATGATCTAGATACAAGCCACGCGTATTGTATCATTTGCTAGAATATAGTGAAACCCTTAACTGGCGATGAAGTACAAGATGCCGTTTAATAAAATGGGAATGTGTTATTTACTTTTAACTACCTATTGTTCCTCTTTTATAAGCTTTAACTTCACGATGAGAGCATACATAGCAAGACTGATTCAGTACATTTTCGGCTTTAAAATCGAGGAGTATCAGCGCTCGCGATTATGAGTACCTATTTGCAGAACGAATTATCTATGCGATATTATATGAAATAGGGCCACCAAATTATCTGAATACGTCCTTTCTTAGTCCGTACATTGCGCCGTAATTCGTCCAAAACACGATTTGTAGAGGTTTTTGAATGACATTTTCATAGTGTGCTGAAAACAAAACCCCACAGGGTGCTATAGAGCGACTTTTTCATTTTTTTCACTAGATTCTTTTTAAAAAAATCGCGAAGTTGAAAAGCAAAATTGCGCACTTCAACCCATCATAAAAGTTGTGCGAAAACAAAATTTCAAAAAGTGCTCCCTGCACCCTGGGCAAAAACGAAAAATTGATGTGTCAAAATCAACAAAACAGAGAGTGTTAAATAAGAATAAGTACCATCCATACAAACCTACAATATTTCAAAGACTGAAACTGATTTTCCAAGGCGAATGCGCTTCTGTGAGTGGTATACTGGGAAGTCTAATGGAAATACCGTTTTTGTAAATCATGTCTTGTGGTCGGATGAGAGTAGGTTTACGAATTATGGAGTTTTTAATAAGCACAACACTCATCATTGGGCTGTGCAAGATCCTCACGTAGTGGTAGAGAGGCGTCTACAGACCAGATTTGAAGCTAACAATTGGTGTGGGGTCACTGCTAATTTAATCTAACTTACCTTTTTCAATTGGGCACCTATTTGAAAGTAGGTATCGATCATTTCAGGAAATCGACCATTTTTGTTGGATTACAACCTAAATGAGCATAGGTAACTAGAGCTTTTGCGAAACTGAGTTGTTCCGGCTTTACGAGCTAGTCTAACCGAAGACGAGTTAAGCAGAACCTGGTTTCAACAGGATGGATGTCCGACTCACAACACCATTCAAGTCAGGAACTTCTTAAGAGAGCAGTTTGATGGAGGAATAATTAAATTAAGTGGTTCAATATCTTGGCCTCCTAGATGCCCTGACTTTTCACCCTTGGATTTCTACCTTTGGGGTCCCACATAGAATGAGGTCTATGCATTTGATCCTCCTGCGACCATAGAAATCCTGAGACAAAGAATTTTGAGCAGAGTTAGAAACTTTAACAGAAATACACTAGCTAAGGTTGTACGAAACATAGTCACCTATTGTCAAAAATGTCTGGGTGCAAATAGACGTTATTTCGCAAATCTGTAAATTAATACCCACTTACATAATTACATTTTACATTGAATTACCATTTTGTAAAATATTTATTTGTTCAAGCGTAAAATAAATTTACGACGATTTTTCTGACTTGCTTTTTTAACACCCTCATAGTTGTCCAAAAACATTTGACTTGTTGAGAAGTCAATATTAACGCTAATATTCTATTGAAAATTCAAGCCGATTATGTGTTATTTTCAGACAAATAAATCATGGCTTCATTAGAAAAAACGAATACATAACATTACGTGTGATGATATTTTGGTGATACTCCAATCTTTTATGCACTTTACTTGTGAGACATCACTGAACTGGAAATTTTACACTCTTTTCAAAAATAAAAAAATCCAATATGGCGTCTGTAAGAAAAATTAAAGTTGAGGCGGGTTGCCAGAAAACAAAAGACGATTGTTACATGTCATACATGCTATCTTATTTTTCTTATCAAAATGTCCGAACAATGTCACATTATGACAGCTGTCAAATCAACCGTTTTGGATTTACTGAAAAAAAAAAATTCTGTCATTTCCGGTTTTTCGCTGATATTATCAAAACCAATTGACACATACATATCGGCTATCGAAAGCACTAATTTTCCTCTAAAACTGCCTTCATTTGATCTATGCTGTAGGTATAACAGGAGCCGAGATCATGTATAGAGAAGCGAATCTGGGACACACTGTATACTAGAATAATTTTAAAATATGCACAACATATAAAACTTGCCACTAAAACAGATTTTTGACATCTTTTCCCGTTTGCTCATAAAACTACATTCCATTTTGGGACACTGTTTAATATTTACGTGTAACTATCATAATGATATTCTAAGATGCATTTACAACTTTTTTACTCTTGTTCCAGGATGGAGCCGCATAAAACGCCATCAGCACGTAGACGCACAGAATCACCCAACTAGCGATGGAACTAGCTCGGATGAAAACGAAATGGAGACCATGGTTATCGACCGAGGGCCCTACTTCGATAAGAGTGCATCGAAAAACGTGACTGCCCTGGTAGGGAAGACCACGTATCTCAATTGTAGAATAAGGAACCTCGGCAACAGAACGGTGAGTGTATGATACTACATTAAGACATTTTTATAACATACGAGATCGTGGATCATTTGAGCAGATTTAAGGTTTTTGTCTTTTAGATGTAGCCATTGTAGGATGAAACTAGACTCGCATACAGCGCATCATGTAGTTGCGAATTGACAGCGTTCTGTACTAGTATGCACCGCGTATGTACTGTCTACGACGCTCGTGTTATGATGAGAGTTCCGTTTCAGTGCGATTGTTAAAATAAAGATCCGAATGACCAATTAATCTTATATCGCATTTTGTTCTATTTGAACGAATGATTACGGTCGCTCAGTTGTGTCTAGATGCTATGAGCTTTTGCTATCTGAAGTATCGCCGGTTTCTTTACGAGGAAATATAATTCCCTGGACCTTTTTTCTAAAAGTATTAATACAATAGGGTAAACTCGGTATTTTCCTAAACGAACTAGGTGCCGACAAAGTCGCCATTACTGTCGATCTTCATTTGCAAGTAAACACCTTTGCCGTACATCTCGTGCCTTTATTTGGAGTTGAGGTAACTAAATTTTCCATTATGTATTTGGGTGGAATTTCCTATTATTTAGAAAAAGACCCTTTTTTTGTTAGTAAATTCAAATAAAGTTTTGCATTTTGGTATTTTCTACTTTCATTTTATACAGTACTACTGTATAACAAGTTGAAACTCATTAGATAATTTAAATCTGATTTTTTATATGAATTAAAAAAAACGTGCGCCACCTCTACCGTGTTTATCCTATATGTTGGTTTTCAAGATCTCCTACTGTTAAAACGACTGCGATTTCAAAACTGTTGGAAAATAAACTCAAGAAAACGAAAAAACAGTAAGCAAATATCGACCAATTGTAGCGAGCTGACCGTCTGAAAACTTAGGCAAAATGTTCGGTATCAGTCGCTAATGCATTATTTGAAGATTCAGCATTGTAACTTGTACAGTTTCCGAGATTATTATAATTGTTTATAATGATTTGATTTGCCGCCAACGTGCGTTTGAAATTTGTCAGTCTCAACTATAAGTGGTAAAGATCCGGTAAGAGGCGTCGTAGTATAGTGGAAAGGAGTAATGGTTGCAGATCCGCAGGACGGAGATTGGAATCCACAAAGCTCTTTTTTATTAATTTTATTCAGATTTGGTAGAATAAATGCTTTTTGACATTATGTGTACTTTCATTGTGATCAAACAGCTTTTCGCACGGCATAGACAATCTAAGCTTCCAAACAGGAAACCAGCAGTATACGTATGGTTCTTTATAATATTTTTGTATTACTTTGATAAACTTTCAGAAACACTATGTCGGATCATCGCAGATAGCAGATAGTTTTTGAAAACAGACTTCTTAAATGTATGAATTATTAACCAACAATACGAGTAATGAAAGACATCCGAAATTTTGTTTGTGATAGTAACAAGCTTTCGATACGCGGTCATATTACGTACCTCTTGGAGCGGCAGAGGATGCTGATAAAATTAAATGAGATAACCCACAGTTTTTATATTTATCAAGTTACTGTTGAGCGTAGATGCTCATTTCATCAACAGCGTAGACATTTTTTTCATAGTTTGCATTTTTGTATTAAGCATAAAGCAATGTAATCTCCCTTTTAAAATAAATGCTATCACAATAGTACTTTGTTAGGTTTCAACAGTCGGAATGGAATACTTTAAATAAAATTATTAGGATCAATTTTTTTTAATACGAAATCATGCTTATATAGGGTCTCATTATGTGGAAAGTAGTAATTTCAACAAAAGAACTGCTGTCTTCAATCAACATCAGCTAGCTGTCGTTTGAGGAAAGCGTAGTATCTGTCTACAACATTGTTGAGGTTACTCTATATACTCATTGCGTAAAAAATAATATTACTTTTACAAGACGAGGGAACGTTTGGGAAATTTTATTTGTGTAGCCGCTAAACCAAAGATTATTTCAGTTTACTCAAAAACTTGTAATTCAAATGCCTTTCAACGATTCTTTGTGGGTACAGAGTCATACGTATGGAATAGACGACATTATTACCGACATTCAAGCTGTATAATTAATATTATTTAGAAGCTCAAAATCAAAAGGGTAATACAAAAAATCCGAAACAAAGGATTATGGTCCACATGGGTGCTATCGTTCTAAAGTGACTGATTAACGAAACCGAATCGTTAAGCTCATGTATTCATTATAATATGTGGTTGAGAGAGGTGGCTCAGATAGACAACTATGCGATATAGTAGAAAATCATATTTGGTTAATGTAACATCAGACACTAACTTATGATGCAGCTTTCTTGTCGATAATCCTCTATGTTTGTCTAGCCAATGAAATCGCATGTTTTTCAAATTTTCCTTTAATGTATACGATGGACGAGGGTAACGTACACTAAGGTCAGATTTTGCTAAACTGGGTCACAAATTCAACCAATGAGAAGGAATCTTTGAAGTTATGGATTTGATGAATGGTCGATTTCTTGTAAAATGTCTCTGACACAAGCATACGATTTACGTAAGATAGGCCCTTAAGTCCCATATGAAATTAACAAATACGTCATAAATCACTTTTTTAAAGTTTATCTACTTTTTTTTAAACTAGGAGCATGGACACAAATCTGATACAATATCTAGATTGATATAACAGCATTTAAATTATGCTCAACAAATTCTATGAAGACATGAAAAAAATGACAGAATGCTTATTCTTTAAGTTTGCAAGCTTACATTGTCTATGGCGTGTGAAAAACTGTTTGATGACAATAACAGTACACATAATGTGAAAAAGCATTTATTTTAACAAATTTAAAGAAAAATAATAGAAAAAAGTGAAGAACAAAATGAACGTTGGGACACATCAAATCTGCTATAAGCAATTAAAACAATTTCGAAGACTATACAAAATACAATGCTGAAACTAGATATAAGGACTAATATCGAGCATTTCGCCTAATTTTTAGGACGGTCATTTCGCTATAATTGGTTGATATTTGCCTAGTATTTTTTCGTATTCTCGAGATATTTTCCAATATTTTGAACTCGCAGTCATTTTGTTCGTACGAGATTTCGAAAACAAACGTATACTGTATTAATACTGTTAGCAAAGAGGTCCAGAGGTCTTCGTAAAGAAACTGGATTACGTAACCTACTTATTTGACAAAGTCATGCAGTCACCAATAATGTAGCCATCTGACACGCGCTACATACTAAGCTAAAACTGTTTAAACTACTACTATTCGTCATTGTCTGTCAGAGCGGTCCGTAGGACCTTTGCTCTTGGTTGAAGTCTTGTATGTCAGTAGGTCTATCAGATCTGGTTGACCAGATACCAAACAAAGTCAGGGAGAATGAAGGGAAGAAGAAAGGAAGGAAGGAAGGAGGGTGAGCAAAGAAAAAAGAAGTGCATCAATTTGAGGGGTGCCTTGGCATTGCTAGTTAGTATTCGGCAATTTTAAATTGATCCTAAAATTAATTTTGGGATTGGTTGTTGAAGAAAAATTATAATTTTGGTTGGACCTAAAGTCGCACGATTTAATTTTGTTCACAGTGCGAGTCGCGGCCTTGTGTGCTTGCGAACTTGCTCGACTGTGTAGTCTACTGACTCGCGCAACAAAGGGTTGTTATGCGATTCTGCTTGACTGTAACGTAGCTGCGCTTGTTGTTTGATGTAGTCCCTTAGGTAAGGGATGTCAAGGTCTCTGTGAAGGGTCTCGTTGGAAACATACCATGGGGCGTTAGTGATTGTACGCAAGGTTCTGTTCTGCAAAACCTGCAGGCTACGCAAATGCGTTTTGGCGAGAAAACACCAAGCCGCACTTGCGTAAGTGATCGCTGGTCTAATAACCATCTTGTTTAGTCGAGCTTTGTTGTTCAAACTTAATTTTGATGTTCTACATAGCATAGGGTAGAGTTGCCGAAACGAGATTTGGAGAAATTTAGTTTTTAACGCCTCAGTGTGCTTCTGCCAGGTTATCTTCTTGTCAAGAGTGATACCGAGATACTTAGCAGAGCTTTCCCATGGTACCCGAGCAACTGTTTGAAACAGTTGTGACTTCAGTTTGCGTGTTAACTTTCTAAACAGTTCAGCGCATTTCAGTATGAAACATTTTTTTTACAAATTTTAAGGCTTATCTGTGACCGTGTGAACATTTCAGCTCTAAATACGTATACATAAGAGTATGAAAGAATCTGGAAAAAATATTTTCTTCTCATAAAAGGTAATAGACATATCCGCTTTGTTTTAAAATGTGTATAATAACGAATCTTTTTCGAATACCGTAGCACACCTGTTCACTTACGAATACGAAATGCTTGAATTTGTTCAGAAGAAAAAAACGTAACCCTTTGTTTTTCGCATAAAACTAACATTCATATTTCGAAATGGTTTGTGATTCATCCCGGCAAGGTACACCCGTGTCTTTTGCTATCAAATGCCTTTTGGACGAACCCTGTAATGGCTCAGTAAACTAGAAGTGATGGTAGGAAAACAGGTGTTTTGAGATAAACAATTACAAATTCTCAAGAACTACTTGATGGATCTACTCCAATTGTGTTTTGGTTATTCAAAAGTATAAAACCTATGGATTTGAAAAATTTCAAATATCTGCCCGAAAGTATCGTTGCATTACCAACAAGTGCGAAAACCTGCATTTTGCCTAGGTTTTCGGCCATAACTTTTTTGCTATTAGTCGGATATTTTCAGATGTGGTCTCATTTTGTAGTCTCGTGAATACTTAAAAATCTTAATTGAAGAGTTTGTTCGTTCCTCCCAACACTTTTTTCCCACAAAAATTGGTGTATCCATTGTATACGTCCATGTTTTAAACACCCCCTTGAACAACTTGCATCAATAAAACTAAACTTTACAATTATTTCGCAAACCAGGGGTATTTTCATCTAATATGATTAGAGTTTAATGAGCAGTCAATTTTTTTACCCAATAACTGTTGATGAAATCCTAAAAATTACGAACGAACTCAAAAATAAAAACTCGTCAGGCTTGATGGATTAAA